GAGGGAGAAAAGGAAAGGAGGGGAAAAGGGAGGAAAGCATGGAGGGAGGAAGGAAGGATGGAAGGAGGGGAGGGAGATGTGAAAGGAGGAAGGGAAGAAGGTATGGAGGGAGGCCAGAAGGGAAGAAGGGAAACAGAAAGGCAGGAAGAAAGGAGGAAAAGAGGATGAAAGGGAAATAAGGAAGAGAGGGAGAAGGCAGAAAGAGATAGACAGATGAAAAGAGGGAGGAAGAAAAGAAGGAAAGTGAGAGGTAAGAAAGGTAAATTATGGCCAGAATTCCTGTTCTGGCCTCTTCTTTCTCTCACCTTCCAGATCCAGTGCTTGTATTATTCACTCTAACAGTCTCCTTTCCCCACCCAGGTTCTTCTTGGCTTGTCCTGGGTCCCTTTTAGCAAGGGACATTCCTGGCTGGGACAGATGGTGGTCAGGACAGACCAATACATACATTAAATAAACCCCTCTCTCTATACACTATACAAGAATATCAGTTCAGTCTGCATCCTCGCAAGGCCAGTCCCTAGAACAGGGCTCCCTTGCCTCTGTACTCCAACTGGCACCTCTGCTAACCCTGGAGTTCTCCAGGGAATCACTAATTGATCACAGAAATATAAGAATGAACAGCTTAATTCCAATCACTGGCTGCTGTGTCCATGCATGAAGCCAGGGCAGTTTCCACAGGTACTGGGGATCCACTGATAAACACACTATGTAAAAGAAGTGGGGTGGGCTAGGGAGGATAGGCTGGGGAGGGGCACGGAGGCAGCTACCCTCAAGCTCCCATTGCTACTATCCCAGCTTCTGCAATCCAGTGTCCTGTATGTACAAACGCCTTCTTGGCTTAACAGTCTGCGGGGTGTGGGCAGCCCTTTTCTGGCTGGGGGCTAATGGAACAGGGGGCAGAAAAGGGGGAGAGATCGTGCAAATGGCCCCCAGGCCAGTCCCCTAAGAAAATAAACATCATTAGGCAAGACAAGAGGCAGGGGAAGGGGGATGCATGACACAAAATTTGGGAGTTGGGGCACACAGGCGGGAGAGCCGCCCCATTCAGGACCAGTACATCTCGGTGGACGCTGCCTGCCATTCACTCGGCTGGGGGGCGGGCCAGATTGGCGACCATTTTGGCCTGGTCCACAGCATCCAATAGGTTCTTGGCATCCACAGCCAGAGTGTGGGAGGCTGTGAGCATCTGACGCTTACATTCTTCACTCAGTGAAGTCACAGCGTTCTGCTGCGCCAGACGCATCTTGTTGATTAATTCCGCTAGGTCTTTGTTCAGCAGCTTCTGTGTCCCCTCAATCTGCAGGGTTAGAAAGAACAATCTAGGATCTGGAAAGCTGAGCGACAGGAGGCTGGGAGGACAAAACCCTGCTAATTCTCCATACTTGTCCAATAATCATCACGGAATCATAGACCTCAAGACCACTTAGGCAACCCCCCCCCCTTTTACACCCCCTATATGAGGAAACTGATGTCTCAGGAACTTAATGACCTGCCCAAAGTCACACAGGTAGTTTCAGAGGCAAGATTTGAACTCAAGTCCTCTGACTCCAAAGCAACTTATATACATTATCCTCTTCGGTTCTCACAACTCTGTGAAGCACAAGCTGTTAGGACCCTCATTTTATAGCTGGGGAAACTGAGGCTCAGAGAACTCAGGGTCACACAGGTCTTGCTGAGCCCAAGTACAGTGCTCTATCCATTAAGCCACACTGACTCTTCAATACATTCACTACTTCTCATAGTTATCAGTCACCAGCCTGTTAATTAACACTCCTGCCTTGGACGAACAGGCAAACAGCCATCAAATTTCCATAAACAAATGGGTCATAAGACCTAGGGCTGGAAGGGACCTCAGAGATAGTTGGGTCCAACTCCCTCATTTTACAGATAAGGAAAGAGGGGAGCAGAAAGAGGAAAAAACTTGTAAAACTGGAAGCTTGACCTTTAGAAAAAGCTTTCCCAGGTTGTTTGTCCCTGGAGAGCACGCAACACCCTCAGACTCCATTTCTGTCTCCACACCACTGCCCTCCCAAGCTTGCTCTTCAGACAGGCCAGCCCCAGGGCCCAGGGGAGGAATGAAGGAAGCTAATATGGACCTTGTGGCTCTTTCTTTGGAAATAAACACATCCCATGACAGGGGAAGACTAAACAGCAAAGCGTGCAGTCCAGACAGGACTTAGGAAACTTACCTCTGTTCGTGAAGACAGAGGTAGAGTGGGCAGAAGGTCATCCACGCTGCCAATCAGCTTCCTCAGGGTTAGGCCGACATTCTAGGGAAAGAAATTTCCCCATGTGAGAGTAGAATATCCCATCAATCAGAGTCCAAAGACTTACCCTAAGATTCATCTTGGGAAAAAACAAATACTCCTGGTAGAATATTGATTCTTTGAGGGCAAACAATAGCTGTTGTTTTGTCTTTTTATCCCTAGTCCCTAGCATGGAGTCTGGCATATAGTAGATATTGAATTAATGCTGATTAGCAGGGCCAAAAGTAAGGCAGAGCGATCAGTACTTTACCTGAGGGCTCCAACAGTTGGGGTGGGGGTGAGGGGATGCTTTACTCCCAGAATGGTCCTCTGATCTACTGCCCCCATACCTTGGAGCAGTCCCTGTACCATGGGATACTGCCCTCAAGGGTCCACCCTTCTCCCTCAGCCTATCTTCTCCAAACTCACAATGTTTTACATTCATCTGCCATTCACTCTCCTCTGTCTTCCTTCTAGGAGCTTGGGATCACCCAATACTTATGCCCTCCTCAACTAAATTTGCCCTGGGTACTGGAATTCCTACCTATGGCTCTGCTTGTTGGATTAGACTGGAGTAGGCTGAGATATTATCTCTTCAGTCACAACACTGGAAAATGTACCCCCAGCAAATGTTCCCTAAGTCTTTCCTTCTGAAATCTCACATAGAGCTTTGTTTCTATCTCTCCCATTCACTTAACACATTCTAATGTATCTTCATGTATATACCATCACCCCTCCTAGGGCACAAGCTTCTTGATGGCAAAGGGCAATGTCTTTGCATAGGCCACAGGTAGTAATAGGTGCTTTTATTAAAGCACGGCTCTTGTCCTCCTAAACTTTGCCCCAAGTTTCCCCTCTTGGTTTCCCACCTTCACCACGACAACATAGCCTTCTGGGGGCAGCTGACTGAGTTCATTTTTGAGATCCAGGACAGCTCGAACCAGCTCCATGACGTTGATGTACACCATGTCGTCTGTCCGGTCCAGGTTGGCTGTTGGCAGAATTGACTGAGGGGGGAGAAGTCAAGAAGAAATAAAGAAATACCTATGAGAGAAGATGGTGTCTGAACCCACAGCTGCATTACCTTCCATGAATGGGAGGGAGGAAGGGGAAGGCAGAGGCAGGAAGGCCCATAAGCCAAATGGGGCTGTCCTATGGTCATTCTGGTTCTTGTGTTTGCATGATGCAAATAAACTGTTAGTAGTTATAGCCCCAGGCTCCACTCTCGGTATTGTTCCTGCTACTCTTCTGGGATATCTTAGACCTAATATTCCTAATATACTGTCTTGCCTAGCCCCTAGATCTGCTCCCTAGTAAACTTATGGCTTTGATCTTCGGACTGGCCTGATGATGGCTCGTTCCATTGCTGGGTTGCTGAGTTGTGTGCTGTGACCCCAGTAGTCCTTATTTTCTACCATTTGACTGTCCTAATAATCCCCATAGAAAGCTGGCCTCCTCCCTAATCCAAAGGGGGATAGGTCATTATGTATGGCTCCCTCAAGGGGATACAGCATTTTCTTTAGACAAAAGGTCAGGCTCAGGCTAATAGCCATTATTATGGATAATAACAACAACAACAACAAAAAAACTAACATTTATAGTGCTTTAAGGTTAACAAAGCACTTTATCTCTCTCTAAATAGATTTTTAATATATATTTATATATTATTATATTTGTAATTAAATATATTTAAATATAAATTATATTTATATATTAATTGTATTATATATTTATAATCACATAATATATAATTACACTATATATAAACTATATGTTTATAATATATTTATATATCTATAATACATTTATATATTAATTATATTGTACATTTATAAATTAATAGTATTATATGTAAAATCTCATTCTATCATTGCAATAACCCTTTAAGGAAGATGATATTATTCCCCATTTTGCAGATGAGGAAACTGAGGCCAAGAGGTTAAATCACTCACCCAAGTGTACACAGGTAATAAGTGTTGAGTTAAGATTCAAACTCAGGTCCTCCTTACTCTCAAGTCCAGTTCTCTATCACTGTACCACCTAGCTGCCTAGAATTCATTCTGCATGAAGTTGCTGTTCCAGATTTAAAGCCTGTTATTTGGTTGTTGTTCAGTCATTTTGGTCATCTGATTCATTGTGACCCCATTTGGGTCATCTTAATAAAAAGATTTGCTCTGTGAAGTTTGGATTCAGTCAAAGGGCCACATGTGGCCTTCAGGCTGCAGGTTCCCCACCCCTGGTTCACTGTCATCTCTCTGGTCAATCATCTTGGCTCAGTAACAAGCGCCTGGCTCAATCATCTCCCCTGATAAAGAAGGTGTTGTGGTATAATAGAAAGAACACTGGGCTGAAGTTCTAAAGACCTAGGTTCAAATCATGCCACTTAGTACCTGTATGACTTTGAGCAAGTCACAACCTCTATGGGCCTCAGTTTCCTCATGTGCAAAATACAGGAGTTGGACTAAATGGTGCTTTGCACCTTTAAATCCATAAAATATGTTAAAATACTAGACAAAGATGAGTTCAAAATTACTTCAAATGCTGACAAATTTTCTAAAATTATACTTAAAAATAATGCATTAAAAATGAGACAGATGTTCCTATAAATTTCAATAGTTCGCCAATTTTTGGAACTAGTCACTATGATCTCTCTAGGCCTGAGTTTCCTTGTCTTTAAGATGTGGGGTCTGGATTAGATCATCTCTAAAGCTCCTTGTGTCTAGAAAAGTGAATAGTTCTAAGTCCCTCCTAGGCCTGGTCCTAAGGTAGTTTACCAATTGTTGCTAAACTCCTCACCCACCTGAGCTCCCAGTCGTGGTGGCTTCTGAGGAGGCCCCGTGAATTCAGCTGTGACCACAGAAAGAGAAAAGGAGAAATGGGTGGGGGCCAAGTCCATGATCTACCCTCCCTTTTGGTCTGGAAATTAATTTTTTCATTTGAGTTAATTCAGGGACCCTCCCCCACCCTCTACCCTTTTCCATTAAATTCCAGGAAAGTAAGCAAAGACGCCCATGGGACTCAAATGAGAAAAACGGCAAAAAAAACAATCAGACGCCTTGGCTTGGGAAAGCATGTGTCTTCTGACTCCAACCCAGCCCTCTTTTTCACATGCTCCCTGGGCTTCCACATCTAGAAAAGGTGGGGGTTTGACCAAATGCTTTCTTTGATTCTTCCAAGATCGAATATGTTCAGAGTCTGATTTCTAGCTGTACTCTAAGCTCTGGTGGAAGTTAAGTAGTCTGTACCATTTACTCTTGGTTTTCCTCTTATCTTTCACCCAGGTTCAGATGATATGAGAGAAAGAAGGGAGGGGGAGTAGCTCTCTTTCCTACTCTGTGGCCAGGAAGCTCAGGTTCTCCCCATTTCCTTCTCTCCCACACCCTGTGGGCCTATGTAAGAGCACAAGCAGGGGCAAAAAGAATATGGATCATGCCTTAACCCTCACCAGCCTGGTAGTGAGAGACGAGGGTGTGATAGGAGAGAGGCTGTGACAGAATGAGAGATAGAAAGAGACAGAGAAGGGGGTGAAGAGAGAGACAGGGGTGGGAGTGGGGGCAGTTGGTGGCACAGTGGACAGAGCACCAGCCCCAGATTCAGGAGGACCTGAGTTCAAATCTGGCCTCAAACACATAATACTTACTAGCTGTGTGACCCTGGGCAAGTCACTTAACCCCATTGCTTAACAAAAAAAAGAGAGAGAGACGGAAGGGGGGAGAAGGGAGTGAGACGCTGAAATTTATATGTGTGTATATGTGTGTGTGTGTGTGTGTTTATACATATATGGAGAGAAGGAGAGAAAGAAGGAGGAAAGGACAGAGTCAGAGAGACCGAAAAAAGAGGAGGAGGGAAGAAGAGAAAGGAGGGAGGAAGGAAGAGGGGGAAAGAATCATAGATAAATGGAAAGAATACAAGAGAGAAACAAACACCGTAACAGAGGACTCAATGAGAGAAAAGAGGAAACTTAGGGAGATACAGGCACATGAGAAAGGGGACAGGATGACATAAGGAAGATGGGTGGAAAATGATGGACAAAGACGAGTTGAAAAGTACCTCGAATGCTGACAAATTTTCTAAAATTATACTTTAAAAATAATGAAATCAAAAATTCTTCTTTCCCATACCCTGTGGGCCTATGTAAGAGCAGAAGCAGAGCATGAGAAGAATGAAAACAAGGCAACTGTTCCTATAAATTCCAATGAGGTTGACCAATCTTTGAAGCTAGTCACTAGTAAGGCGATCCCGCTGACACTAGGCACCAAGATGGCAGGCCCCATTAAGAAAAGAATAACAAGATTGAATAGAAACTTACTATATCCAGCCTCCTTCTCTGGGGTCTACAAGAAAGAAAAAGAAAATCAGTGTTACCAATACAGCTTTGAGAAAAACATGCCTTCCACTTCCCTCTCCTGTTGTCTTTTCCTGGAGGTGGAGACAGTTCTGACCACAGCTCAAGGGAGAATCCTAGGGAGCCAAGGAGTGATTGCTACCTGACCATGGGTGTTCGTGTGCCGTTCACGGCATCCTAGGCCTGCTGGAGTTTAAAACCTAAAGATCTTAACACATATTTGTTGAATAGAATAGGTAGCATTGAGTCCTTATTGTTCTGTCTCAGGGATGCTTAGCTTTCAATTCAACAAATATTTATTGAGGTCCTACTATGTGTAATCCACTATATTCATCACTGGGGATATGAAGATGAAAAATGACACATGGTCCTCGCCCTCAGGGTCCACACTCTAGTACATGACCAACAATAACTGTGATATAAGGCAAAATGTGAAAGGCAAAGATTGGCCATGCTTTGAAAAATGTGATAAAAGAAGAGATTACTTTCAGTCAAGAGTCTGTGTGTAGGTGCACACATTCAAATTTTGCTGCATTCATTCTTTCTATATTTCTATATGTATATCTTGTGTCCTTCAATCAACTATAAGCTGCTTAAAGGTGGGTAGTTTTTCCTTTTGTCTTTGTGACCCAACTGCCTAGTACAAGGCCTGGTACCTAATAAGTGCTTAATAAATGCATACACTTTGATTGGGGAAAGTCAAGGAAGATTCTTAGAGGAGGTTTTCCATGAGATGGGCCTTGAAAGGAGATTTGGGATTAATAGAAGAATCTTTTGCTCTACCAAAGGAATAGATCTAGTGTTGTTAAACGTGGAAAGGGAAGTGTTGTCATCCCCCTGTGCTCGAGGTGATACAACTGCTGGGTTAAACTCCTGGGGTAGTCATAGTAACACTTTCAGTATTCATGGTCTTGGTCTTGGGTCTAGTAGCAAGGGCCACGGGCTTGTCACTTACCAATGGAGACTTATCATTCATGTACACCATAGGGTCCTACAAAGGAGAGAACCAAAGGAAAGATTTCAGACCTTCAGTTTACTTGAGTGAAAGTGGGAAATCTTTTATGAAATATGGGGAGGCAAAGTGGGTGCTGGATTGAGTTGATCTTTTATTATTTTTTAGGTGATGGACACAACTGCAATGATATCTTTTACGAGGTCTTCTTAGCCCTCCCCTTAGAAGGAAGAAGACATGGCTAATTATGGATTACAGTGGGGATATTGAGTAGAACAGCAGAAACCTGAGGTCTCTTGACTGGTTAAGGGTGAGTTTTGGAATTGAAGCCAACGGATGAGCAATTAAGTGGGCCAATCCCATTTAGGTGGGAAGTATTCTGGAGCAAGAGATATCTTTCTCATTTGGGAGTCAGAAAGGAATAGCATGCTGGAGGAGGATCTCTAGGCATGGAGAATTCTAAGCCAAGCCCTGGGGACTTTAGATAGAGAACAGTTTAGCAAGGTTGGGCACCATTTTATCTGGAGTGGTTTATTTTACATACATTTTCTACTCCATGCTATCCTGTTATTATTATTTCTATATATCTTTCTTTTTCTTTATGAATAAATTCAAGAAAGCACAAACTTCTGGGCTTGGGTGTATGACAGTTGAATCAAAATGGGAAAGAGTCAGGAAATGATAGAACCCAATATCAAGGTACAGGGGCAGCAGTAGCAGAAGGGGAGAAAGTAACCAGAGGTTAGTGTGAGGATGCTCAGGAATATGAGCCCAGGTTGACCAAGCAAGGTAGCCAGCTCAGGATTTAGAGTGAGATACTAGATATTAGGCAATGAGGTATTATTAGGGATAATGGTTGATTTGGGAGTCAAGAAGTACCTAGTTCAAATTCCAATCATAATAATAAAAATAGCTAACATTTATATATAGTTTTAAGGTTTGCAAAGCATTTCTCACATATTGTCTCACCAGATCCTCACTACAACCCTGTGAGGTAAGTGCTGGCATGGTACTCATTTTACAAATTAGAAAAGTGGAGCTAAGAGGGGTAAAGTGACTTGTTCAGGGCCACACAGCTAGTAAGTATCTAAGGCAAGATTTGGACTCAAGTCTTCCTAATGCCAAGTCCAGAGTTCTATTTACTATGTCATTTAGCTACTACTATAAATAATTAAGAGGAGAGGGAGAGGCAGAGGGAGGGAAAGGAGAGGAAAGGAAAAGGAGGAGGCAAAGGAGGAGGAGAAAAGGAAAAGGAAGAAAAGGAGGAGAGAAAAGGAAAAGAGAGCCTTGGACTGGCAATCCAAAGGTCTGAGTTTTAGTTTTCACTCTGACAGTTAATAACTGAGTGACCTTAGGCAAATCACTTCACATCTCTGGGTCTCAGTTTCCTCATCTGTAAAATGAGGTTGTTGACTCCCTGGAAGAGATGAGGAACTATGCCTCCCCGCTTCATTGGAAAGTGGGGGACTAAGAGTGTGGAACATAACAAGAGTTGTTGGGCATTGAATTTGTTGGCAGTTTTGCTTAAGCGATTTTTTCTTCTTTATGAGAAAGACAGTTTGCTGGAGGAGGGGGTGAGGGCATATCTGGCAATCAATGACTGTGATACAAGAACAAAAGGTGTCAGTAAAACCTTTTTTTTTTTTTTTATAAAACATAATTACAGGAATTAGACTAGAAGGTCACTGAGGTCTCTCTCAGCCTTGTCACACTATGAGTCCGTGATTCAGTTTCGTATTTCTCCCCTCCCTCAGGCTCTCTGAAGCCCTTTGTACCTATTATCGAGTAGGAAGTCAGACCAAATGATTTCCAAGACTCCTTCCAACTCTGATTCTGTGATTTTTTTTTTTTTAATAAGAGAAGCTCCTCAGGAGTCCCAGGGGCCGATTCCCATTTCAATTCCCACTCACCAGGGACTTTTCCTCCTGCCTGAGCCATTGGTAATCTTCCACCATCTGCTTCTGTTGCTTGTCCAAGATCTGACGCATCTTCGCTCTCTCAGCTTCCCATAGCTGCTGGGCCTCCTCTCGACTGCTAGGGCGGACAAAATCCTCTTCCTGAGACGGCCAAAGGGAGAAAAAAAGGCATCCTGAGAACCAGTGCTCAGGCCTGACGAAGGGTAGCTCAGGGTGAGCACCACAGAGCTACAAGCCGCAGCCACAGCAGAGGGCCTTGGTGCAGGGAAAGCAACAACGTGTAGAGCCCCCAGGACAACCTGCCCTCTGCTTTTACCCGTGCAATACTTTGGTCTTGTTTATTTGCTTTAGGGTTATGAAAGGTTGGGCTACAGATATAGGCCTATTATTAGCATTTCTGGAAATCGCATACCTGCTTGTGTGGTTGTAATACTGAAGAGTAGCATTAGAGAACACTGTGTAACCCAAACTAAGATAGATGGTTATATGTCACCTTATGGAAATTTGGGTTATTACTTTACAATGAGTTTTCCAACTGGTGCTGTAACTTAATGGATTAAAGCATTATATAAATATCAGCTATTATTGTTACTGTTAAAAATGCAAGGGAATTTCCACTTAGACATCATGCCTGTAATTCCAGTAGCTGCCACTGGATGACTTAATGGGCCCTATTAATGATTATGTAGGTCTGATAGGCTCTTACTTGACATAGGTAACTGAGAAGTAGAAATAGCACACGATCTGCTCAACAATATATTTTTTCCCCCATAAAAATAGAATTCTTCATTAAAATAGCAGCATTGTTTAATTAAAACCCTAAAAAATATATAAACTTAGATATGTAATATAGAGCAAGATATCAAGATTTCAGAAAACAACCAATAATGAAGTTCAAGTTAAGCACCCTAAATATTGCTCAGTTTAATCCAATCCTGATTTAATTTTCATTCATACGCAGTGCTTTGTACCTATTCACAGCTCAGCTTCTTACAGGGGGAGGTGTCAAATGTGTAGTTCACTGAAATTCCTATTGTAATGATCAATCCAGTCTCTCCCTTCCCCACCTGCCAAACTTTCTTTTAAACCCAGAACTGGTTCTCGATGCTTCTGACAATTTTATGTTCCATCTAGCACTTCAATTCCCATTTCCTTCAACAAAAAGTATAGACAGTGGTCACTTCTGACTTTCTCCATCTCTATATAAGATGTAAGACCCTGTGTTTCTCTCTCTTCCAGTCAGGAAGAGATTCTTCTGACAAACAGAACTACATGCTTTTCCTTCCTCTCCCATTGAGTTCTCTACTGACATTTTGAACAGAATGGTTAAGATTGCATGCGAATTAGCCGAGCTGTGAATTGGGTGGAACTTACATATTACAGCGGCTCTCAGCCTGAGTCCTACTATGGGCATCTCTCCTGTCTTTGATGTTGTGGGCTGGACTCCTGGTTTCACAATCCCTTTAAAAAGTTATCCTAACCTGATTCCTGCTATGATTGCTTCCAGGAGGCATACTAGATTTCCCTGATGCTGGTTCTCAGCTAACACTCTTTGGATCAGCACGTAAAACTTGGACTTAGCACCTCCCTCCACACACCTTGCTTACCCTACTCCTACCCCACCCCAAATCTCTCCCAATTCCTTTTGAACAAAAGTCAACACAAGAGCAAATTCTCTTCACAGGAATTTTGCTAGAACGTATCTTCAAGCACTTAGTAAGACTAGGGCTACTTTTAGCATTTGTTTATTCTAACTCAGATACTGCTTTGTCCCACTTATGAGGAGGCTGGTGTGTAGTTTTGGTAGTTATTTGTTATGTGTTTAAAATTACCTTTAATGTCTTTGGGGGCTAGACAAGATCATCTCCATGGACCCTTCCAACTCTACCATTCCATGGATCTGTGAAAGATACCTGCCAGAACTGTAGCAAGTGTATTCAGAGAAGCAGCTTGTACATGACATACCTCTAAAGTGAAGTAACAGGAGAGTCACTTTGCCACTGTCGGGCTCTACTGAGCGACACCATTGCTTAAGAAACCAGCATTGCCACCAGTCCCCCCACAAATAGCACTGCTTGCAAGCAGGAGGCAGCAACACCAAAGAAATGGTTTCTTTGGGCAATTCAGCAGAAGGTAACCAATGGAAAGAGGGGAGAGGGTTTGCCATTTAGGGCAAAGAAAAGCAGCTACTCTGGAGCCGGTTCCTTGACTTAGCAGAGTTTATTGCTCACTGAACCTATGCCATTGCCCCAGCAGAGAGAGTCCTGGGCACTTCTGTGTCACTGAGATACAACATGGTAGAAGGATGGCATCCAACTGGCCACATCAAAGAGCATGTCCCTGAGAGAAGCTGGCTCATATCCTAGATTCCAGTACTCACACTGTCTAGAAGGTGCCTTCTATAAGAACCTCAGGCCTACTCAGTGCCCTGGGCACTCCCCAGGGCCTAGGGCTTCAGTGGGAAGTCACAGGGCATCGTACTCCTTCCTGCAAGTTACAACTGCATCAAAAGCCAAATCCCAGCATGCAGATGGTTCTTACCCTCATGCTGTGGCGTTTGAAGACATTGTGCCGGTGGAGAGGTGGGGTATGCAAGGAATTAACTGGTGACGGATACTCTATGGGACTGGTGAGCGTAGGCGAGCTGGCACATAGACCCTCTGGTACCTGTTTGAGAAAGCAAGGCAGCAGGAGGCCCAGGAACAAGGCAAGCGTACATAACAGAGAGTTAGCAGCAACACATACGCACGCAGGCCACGCACACAAAAACCAACACAAGCCAAAAGGAAACACCAGGACAATTCTCGAGAAGGACTTTGTCCCTAGGAGTCAAGAAAGAACATTTTACATTGACCTAGCACTTCAGAAGCAGCGGGGACTAGGTCAAAGTTCCCTAGCCTAGAAGTCAGTGTATCTAGGTTCCATTTCCAACCCTTAGCATCGACTTCCTCATGGACTTGGAAAAGCAACATCATCTCTACCTCTCCCTAGTTAAAGAACAGAGAAACCTAATGCTATCCAACGAGACGCTGACTGCTTTCTTAGCCCCTAAGAGGCAGCTTTCCTTCATCCCCCAGGTATAGAAGTCCTTAACCTGGTAAACCAGGGCTGTTCAGGTACAGAGTAAAGTTTGATTGAGGGTTTCAAACACTACGGAGCCAGTTTAAAAAATAATAATACTTTAACTGTTCTAAATTCAACAAAATGTTCGCCTTGGTTATCTTGTTTATTTTTAAGGCCTGGAATAATGGAAAGAGTATGGGCTTTGGAAATGGGTGACCCAATTTCAAATCCTATTAATTGACACCTATTTGAGATTGAGCAAAGTTATTTCAATTTTCTTGGCCTCTGTTTCCCCATTTGTAAAATTAGAGTGCTGGACTAGATGAGTTCTCAGGTCCCTTCCAACTCAAAATTTGTGATTCTATGATTTCCTACTGTAATTAATAAAATGGAACTTTGGTTTATGAATTAGTTTATTGGAGGCACCAGGGAGCGGTGGGAAAAAGGCTACATTGGGAGACAAAGAATCTTGGGTCCAATTCCAGCTAGGTTGCCTACTCCCTGTGCCTGTGTGACCTTGAGCAATTTGACTCAATTCACTGGGCATTTATTAAGGGACTACTTTGTGCCAGGCACTGTGCCAGTATTGGAAAGGCATTATTACAAAGACAAAGAAATGAAACAGTGTCTGTCTTTGAAAATCTTATATTTTAATGGAAGTAAAATAGCACACTTACCTCTTTGGGACTCAATGAGTTTCTCTATTTATTAAAGGAGGGGGTTGGACGAGATGACCTATAAAGTCCCACCTACTTATGAACTTAAATCAAGCTTTTATCTTCCTAAGGGCAAGTTAGACCTACCAATTTATTTTTCCCCCCACTGACACTTTTTCAAATTTAAAATTTTGGTTTTTTTTCTTGCAACTGGAAAGGCCACTATAAGAGGAGGGATTAATATGGGATAAAGTTGGGAAAATAGCTCACCACCCAGTGGCTTCTTATTGCAATTAATTATTTTGGTTAATTTGGTACTAATTCCAGTTGTTTCTATCAGCTGGAATACAGATGTTGTCAGTGTCTTATAAGTTTTGGTGTCCTAGGACAAGGTCACAGTCACCTCACCCACATCAAACCAACTCCATTTTGTAATTAGCCTTCACTCTATCTCTTCAGTTACAGGTCTACACTGCTGACCTCATAGGGCTTTTGAGAGAAAAGTGCTTTGTAAAGTTTAAAGTGATATACACTATAAGCTGCTGATGGTGCAGTAGAAAGAACACTGGATCTGAATGCCAGCCAGGTGGCTCAGTGATGAGTGCTGGGCTTGGAATCAGGAAGCTATGTGTTCAAATCCTACCTCAGACACTTACTAGCCCTGTGACCAAGGGTAAATCAATTAACCTCTCCCAGCGTCAGTTTCCTCATCTGTAAAAGGAAGGATTGGACTCAGTGGTCCCTTCTAGCTTTAAACCTATGATTTTGTAATCACTTATTACTTGTGTGACCTTAAACAGGTTCTCTCAGTATCCATTTCTTTATCTGAATGAAGGAACAATACTAGATGGCTGCAAAGTCCCCATCCATCTCCAAATCTATGACCCAACTCTTCTTCTTCATGTGCTACTAGATGCCTACTATAGGAGATGCTCGGCTGTAAAAGAAAAAAGCTCAAACGGAGGTCAGCATTTACTTAAAGCAAGCAAACATTGCGAGAGTTCTCTGAGGGCAGAGGAATGAAGATCCAGCTTTCTGGCATGAGGCCCCACCAGTCCTGACCAGTCACCACTCGGTGGGAGAGAAGGGAGATGGTGACTACAAGCTGTTCCTTCTTGGGGCCTTGGGTGACTCATAATCAAGTTCTGCCTTGGGTTTCCCACGCAAAACCAAACAGATCAGGCACACATCTCTTCTTGTATCACCCTAATGAGGGACTTCAGCTCTTTAAGAACACCAAGCTGGAATTTCAGGCATGATTCAGCGGTGAATGAGCCTGAATTCTCTTGCACATCCTCTGCAGATGCTATAATGCTCTATTTACCTGGAACTGCAGCTTGGGAGCCAGAAGGTTGGTTTGTGGAGGCAGCTTGTACTTGGGCCGGCTGGGCTGGAAAGAAGAAACAGACGAGTTAATCCCTGCTGTTTTTCCTGCTCCTTGAGGAGAGCTGAACCATATAGGAAGGGAGAACACTAAGAGGCTGGGAATCCTGGGTTCTAGATGAAAAGGGTACCTGCTAGACAGGAAGGGTTTAGGAGAGATGAAGGCAACATTAATAACTCAGTAGGGGTCGTCATCATTACGAAAAAATAATCACTGAACGTATATTCTGAGAAATATACTGTGGGGATACAACGAATTCAAAGCTATGGTGCCTGCCCTCAAAAGGCTTAGGGAGACAGGATACATGTAAAAAAAACCATAAGGCAGAGTAGAGTGTAGGCAGCTAGGTGGCACAG